ATGCTTCGGAAGCCCGAAGCACTTGTAATTTATTACCATCGACGCCTAATCGTCTTCTGCAAAAGTGGCCTGAAAAGAAGCCGGAATCTCGTTTCAGAAACCTTTGACTTCCTGAGCCAATAACCATGTCCCCCTTCTTCGTCTATAGTCTCCTCATTCTGCTCTCCTTCCATCCTCCGCCTGGCGCCACCTCCTCACTCACCGCGCAGGAGGAAGAGCAGATAGAGCGCTTCCAACGCTACCTTCGCATCCGCACCGCCCACCCCGACCCAGACTACGCCGCCGCCGCCGCCTTCCTCCTCGAAGAGGCCCGCTCCATCGGTCTTCACGCCCTCGCCATCGAATTCGTTCCTGGAAAGCCCCTCCTCCTCATCTCCTGGCCCGGCTCCGACCCCTCCCTCCCCTCCCTCCTGCTCAACTCCCACATCGACAGCGTCCCTGCTGAGCCCTCACGTTGGATCCACCCGCCCTTCGCTGCCATACGTGACGCCGGCGGCCGCATCTTCGCCCGCGGCGCCCAGGACGACAAGTCCATCGCCGTCCAGTACCTCGAGGCCCTCCGCAACCTCAAGGCCGCCGGCTTCGTGCCTGCCCGGTCCGTCCATATTTCCCTTGTGCCCGACGAGGAGATCGGCGGCGCAGACGGGGCCGCCAGGTTCGTTGCCTCCGAGCAGTTCCGGGCGCTCAACGTCGGGTTCGTGCTCGATGAGGGGCAGGCTTCGCCCACGGACGAGTTCAGGGTGTTCTACGCGGACCGCTCACCGTGGTCGTTGATAGTGAGGGCCGTCGGGGCGCCGGGCCACGGCTCGAGGATGTTCGATGGCGGTGCGATGGAGAATTTGATGGATTGCGTGGAGGCTATTGCGAGATTTAGGGAGAGCCAGTTCGACCAAGTGAAGTCGGGGTCTAAGGCCGCCTCGGAAGTCATCTCTGTGAATCCGGTGTATATGAAAGCCGGTACTCCTAGCCCCACGGTGAGCCACCATTTTAAGCCTTGTCATTGTGGTCACTATTATAGCTATTATTCTTTCTTTTTTCTCTGAATCTATTATTCAGGATCCTTATTCTGTTACTTGTTCTAAAGCAAAAAGGGACTTTTTTTGCTTTCCATTGGAAGTGATCACTTGTGATAAGTATTGATAGTGTTAAGGATTAAAAGTGATCACTTTTATCAATTGTGATAACTATTATTGCCTCATCTAGAAGGATAAAAACATCATGGTATGGTGATTGAGTGCTGGAAGCCATATGTTCCATGTCTTTGCTAAAGATGAAGCAAATACAAATACCATCTGGGGGTTTATTCTTTTATTTTAAAGAAAAATTTGAAGAAATTTTCATTACATTAAATGGAGTACACAACATTTACACGTGGAGTCAAATGTGGGCTCGAACATGAAACTTATTATTTGTGCAATAATGCACTCATTAATTGGATGTCTCGAGAGAGATATTCTTCTATCTTCTAATTGGGTCAAAGCAGTGAGTAGCTAAAATCTTATGCTTTAGTGCCACAAAAGGCTTGGCTGGTGGTTGTTGCTAGTCCACGAGTGCAAATGCCCCTATTGAAGGTGTTATACTAGGGAGTCTCACAAGTTAAGCTATGGTTATGCCGAGTGAGTTTACATGATCCTTTTGGGTCTGCTCTAAGGTGGGAATGCTAGAGGGAGTGGTTGAAGCTTGATGATCCTTCTTGTTGCTCTTCTTCTATGTTTTTTAGTCTTCCTTGTCTTCTTTAATGTTCTACTTTACATGATCTTGTTAGCTGCCTGATGCATTTGGGCTTAAGATCAACGCTGCTTGAACCCCATCAAGTTGGTGACCAGAATTGTTATCAATGACCATTACCTTTAGGAGCCTTTGATGTTCCATAGAGAATTTGCACTCGGCCTTTCTTAAGTCATCTTTTTTCTTTGCCAGCTTTACCATTGAGGTGCCTACAAAGTGGCCATACTTGCCTCAGGCCTCATCGAGCTCTTTTTGGTTGTAGGACAATAGTGGGATAATTTTGGTAGGACTGTTACAATCTCTGTGAGAGAACAGGCATTTGAAATTTCTTTTGAAGAAGCTCCGGACATGCCCTCACCCCTTATATAGGTCCAAGGGTTCTGTCTTGCAGGAGTACTTTTCACAGATACATACCAGTAAGATCGTATTATGGCACTGTTGCTAGTAGTGGTATTAAAAATTCAATTGACAAGGAACTGTAAGGAAATGAATTTATTTATAAGCCCATTGTGTTTATGTTAAGTTATCTAACAAGTAACCATTCAATTAATTTTGTTGCAATTTTACCTAAGTTAATAAGATCTTAACGTGCTATAGAATCAAAATAGAACTTTCATTTATCGACGAGGGAATATATCCTAAATCCTAATTGAAGACTAATATATAGATCATTCTTTTGTTGAATGTTTCTCACAATATGACATCTTTCTGATTGTTACTTTTAGTAATTTTTCATGGTTGTCTATCTTATGACATTGCTTTTTTACATATTCCTGGTAGTTAAGTAGGATATTTTCCAACCAAAGCTTCTGTTTGTATAGTGTGATGATCAGGTGTGTGTACATATTATTGTCATTTCTTGTTTGCTTGCTATTGATATCATATTCGAAGTGCATCTGTAAAATGTTGATTTTTGTTTGTCAAAATTGTTACATTTGTTATTCATGTCTGTATGAGCACATGATGACACCCTTTGGACTCATACATTTCAACATGATTGCTCCAGGGTTTTGTAATGAATATGCAACCCTCAGAAGCTGAGGTCGGGTTTGATGTTCGTCTTCCACCAACAACAGATCTAAGTGTACTAAAAAGAAGGATCGATGAGGAATGGGCACCAAATATAAAGAATATGACATATCAGGTTAGGATGTCTTTGATATATAGTAATGGATTTTTTTTCATTTGAATCTGCTCTCTTATTGAGCTCCTTTACATAGTTAGATTCCTTCAACTAGAGTCTTGGTGCGGCTTTAACCAATTCTCCATGGTATCAATGGTTTGCACTTCATTGATATTATCTTCAGAACAAGTTGTTCCAAATGTTTTTGGCCTTCATTCTATAAAGAAGTATGATATTTATATTACTATTTTCACTAATAGTATTTGCGATATAAACTTTGTGCCTCTACCAAATGTTGTCGAGTATTGCTACTGGCTTTGACTTGCACCTTTTTTCTTCCTTAGTGTCATCGTCATCCTTTAGAGGGGTTGCTTAAAGTATCCATGAATGTTTCTATTTTTTTCTGGTTAGATGCTTAGAGCAAGAAGATTATTGTAGTAAATCTTGAAGGTTTTGTGCAGAACAACTTCGATATTGGTATGAAATGTCAAAGTAAATGTTGGAAGGAAAAAATAGTTATTCCTCTATCACCTAGGAAGTGTTTTAAATTTAAGGAATTGCTCGCTATGGTCTCCAAAACATGGTTCACTAGAATAATTGACAGGTAAATATTGAGAAAAGAAGTATGGAAAAGGAAGATAATAGAAATTGAGAAGATTTATGAAAGGAAGGAGATGCATACTCTTTCTTTCTTCTTCCATGAAACCTAGATGTTGACAGATGCTAGAAAATTGATGTCAGGAGCAAATTGGGAGGTGGTAACTAAGGAAATGACATCTCAATTAAAGAATGGACATGAGTCGGTCAGTGCTTGCCAAGTTACATCCAAGGAATGCTTGCATGATGTGACATTTGACATGTTGGTTGTGGATCCACATCTTTTGTAAATAATGTAATATATGAACATGTCAAGGAAGGCCACAATGACCACTCAATAATCCATCCATAATACCACAGGGCACTGGAGAGTGAGTAGGTTCTGGTACCAGTTCCATTTGCTGTCTCAAACTGTTACTCTTTTCAAGAAACTTTTTTCACTGGTGCTAAATTATACTGTGAAAACAGACCTGGAGGCAAATTTCTTTCACTATCTTTTTTTCTGGTAGAGCATATCTAATATTGTCATGTTGATAGGTTTGATTTCATTGTTGAAGAGGATATTATCCCTTATATTACATTTCTTTTTTATTGTAGATGTTCTCCTTTTAAATTAATTGACTGGCTGTGGTTTTGTTGAAGAGGATCCCAAGAGATGTTCAGTAGCCTATACTGATTCGAGGAATAATTCTTCATTCTTTAATAAATATCCTTTTGGGTGCACTTAATCTTAATTTGATCTAGTTCATTAACTAAGAAATAAATTGTTGCCATTAAGGTTGGCAACAACATTGGTCAGGTGAAATCCATTTCAGTCGACCTTTTCTTTTCATGGACATTTGGGTCAACCTTATGTTGTCTCAAAAAATAAGTTGGTCTCATATATCCATGCCCTTTTTATTCATGCTAGATATTTGGTTGGATAATCACCATAGAGGACTTAAGATGTGACTTTCATGTTCTAACTTTATTGGAATCATTACTTCAATATTTCACTTGTCATGTAGCAAAGTTTGGAATAAATAGACGATGATCTTGTGCAACATGATCCCTCATAATTGGAATAACAATATGTATTTGTAGTTGTCTCCATTTTTTATTCTTAATTTAAAAAAGGGTTATGGTTTTCCCTTGAAATACTTGTTTTGTTCGTTTAGTTAATGGGATGTTATTTGGTTATGATTGTTGATAGAAACAGATGTAAACAACATTTGTCATGTTAGTTCTCAGTGACTCCAAGATCATGCATGTTAGTCACGAATACAGTATACAAGGTGAAAAGATTATGATCCTCATGTAAATGCCATTCTGTATTAGCTGAAAGCTTATTACTCAACTTGGGATGTAAACATACTGGCCTTCATGTATCTTTTCTTCAAAACAGAAGTTTCTGCCCTTTGGTCATGGTGACAGTGAGGCTTCATTATCTTTCTTTGTCTGCTCAGAATGACATATCATACATGTTCCTGAATTTGCAACTAAATAGACATAATTAGTAGCCAACCATATCTAGATGGTTAACAACTGATTTTTCTTAGTGATTCTGGTGCATGGAATATAAAAGGTTCATTCATATTCATGTTTTATAATGATTTGGAAATGATCTTCTGAATGAGTCTCCACAACTGTTCATGGTAACACTTGTTTCCTTTCGAAAATTTCACAGCTGATACAAAAAGGACCGATACGGGACAACAAAGGGCGTCCCCTAGCAACACCCACTGATGAGTCTAACCCTTGGTGGTCCGCATTCAAACAAGCTGTTCTGGCATCTGGAGGGACACTTGCAAAACCAGAAATTTTATCTTCCACTACTGATGCTCGATTCATGAGACAGATGGGAATTCCAGCCCTGGGCTTTTCACCGATGGCAAATACTCCAATCTTACTCCATGATCACAACGAGGTCTGCATACTCATCTTTCATTTGTTTCCATTCTTCTTTTCTTCTACATTGGCTGATCTGACGATATTCTGACTTGTGTACAGTTTTTGATGGACTCTGTGTTTCTCAAAGGAATCAAAGTGTATGAGCATGTCATCAGTGCTTTGAGTTCCTTACCGGAAACTTCAGTCTAAGCTACAGTGGTTCATTTGCCCATCCCTACAAGACTGGCTTTCTTTAGAATGGGTGATGCGCTACAGATGTCTCAGAAAAAGACACCCTTAATATGATCCAGTGGAGAGCATCAGTATGTATCAGTGATCCTTTGCTAAATCTTTATTGTACGATTTTGCAAAATCTAAGTAGATTCTAGTGTTTGCTGCAAGATAATTATTGTGATGCTTGATTATACCAAAATTTACACAAGTCTATGTTTGCCAGACCTTTAGTCACCCAATAAATTATATCTTAAATGCCTGCATTAAAAAAGCTATGCAGAATTTTATGAAAACTCAACTGAAGTTTGTAAATAGAAGTTTAGCTAACCATGACCAGCAATAGGGTTGAGTTGGATTAGTTTTAGAAATATTATATAAATATTTAGAAGCTGTCCAGTTTAACACCCTAAATTATGTTTTCTTTCAAGCTAAAAATAACCTAATTTAATCTCTCTTTCCTCGATTAATGTTTAATGAGTTATTGATTAATGTTCATTAGAATTCTAATTGATGATCGAAAAGAAATCAAATAATTTTATAAAGTAATGACAGGATGTCCGTAATTAATTTAGAAAACTCGACTCTTTACATGTATATTATAAAAAATATGTGAGGTTCTTCTCCCCTTCTTTTCCACATCATTTATAACTTATTGCTGTAAAAGCTATCAAACATCGATCTCTTTTGCTTGCTTAAGTATCACAAAGATATTGAATTGATTACTGAAGCAAACTAAATTTTACCAGTGTCAAACAGACAAAAGAAAACAAACATACTTGTTTTCATGGTGTCAGTAGATTCTTAAAAGGGTCAGAAATATAAAATATAAGAATCTGAGCAGAAATATGATATCAGGAAATAAGGGATCACCCAGCTATCCACTGCCATCTACGTAAAGATGAGGACAGAGGAGCCCACGTGCCTCCCCGTCCCTATGGCAGGGAAAGTATCTTTCACACCCTGCCAATCGCAATTTCGGAAAGGGTGCACACTCCGCGGGGATAGACGACGGAGCCATCTTTCCATTTTTCGGTTGCATTCTCACGGGGAGCATTAATCCCTGGTAGCAAGGCTCGTCTTCCCCATTTTCTCAGTTGCCCGGTATAGACGACACTCACGCGGTCGTCCTTTACGAACGATGCATCACAATAAAGTGTACGAGCTGATCGTCGACATAAATGAGCTCCCGTAGAAACATAGATTAGGGAGAAGAGTAATCCGCTTCTCGCCACCAATCGCTTAGGTATAAAAACTGGCTCCTAAAACCTAAGAGGAAAAATTCCTATTATTCCATTCCTTCGTTGACTTTACCATCAGAGCGGTTGAGTCGAGAACTTCCCTGACACTGACATCTTATGCAGGAATCTTAGGGAGGCTAAGGCACACCTCAGGTCAGCTCCAAAACCTCGAAACGATCAAAACCACCTTTGTCCAGCTTAGAACCCACCACAAGCAAATAAGCAGCACCTCAGGACCGCGCCAGCCAGATTCAGCTCACCCAACTCACATTCGGGAGTGTCACATGGGTTCCTAAGATGAGCTTGCGCCTTCGGGACGTGACCTGGCTGTGCTGACTTCCTAGTCAATGGTGCAAAGGTTGCAACATTTCGACATTAGAGGAAGAGCCGAATGTCGCAAGAGCGTCCACCTGCGAATGGTATCAACATAATATATGATGATGAAGTTCACTATCTAATGATAGTAAGAAGCAACCCCCGGGAGTCCAAGCGGAGCTATCTAATGATAGTTTCACTATCAAAAAAAGATGATAGTTGAAGCGCCAATCATGGATCCCCGAGACCCCAACAAAGTCCTTCCGCACCCTAAGCCGATAAAGCAACTGGTTGAAGTTCCACTCAACAACGCTCGTCATAATACAGTGCGTGCCACCCCATTGGCATCACCACAATGTGATCCAATAGTAGATAAAGAATCAAGGATGCTTGAATCCGCTTGGAGGAAGCTCGCTACGATGGAGCCCCTAGCTCACTATGGTAAAGCCCCAAGCCCATTACGATGGGAATAAGACCCATTGCGGCAGATGACGAGTCCCACTATGGCGAAGCCCTAAGCCCATTACGACGGGAAGAAGACCTACTACAGCGAACAATGATGCCCGCTATGGCAGAGCCCTAAGCCCATTACAACAGGTAGAAGACTCGCTGCGGCAGATGACCAGGCCCGCTATGATGGAGCCCAAAGCCCGTTATGATGGGTAGAAGACCTGTCTCGATGAGGCCAAGGCACACCTCGAGTCTGCCCCGGAACCTCGAGATGGTCAAAACTAATTCTGTCTAGCACAGAACCTACTGCGGATAAACAAGCAATACCTCAAGATCACGCCAATCGGATTCGACTCACCCAACTCACATCGGAGAGTGCCACATGAGTTCCTAAGATGAGCTTGTGCTTTCGAGACATGACCTGGTTATACTGGTTCCCCAGTGCAAAAGTTGCAACACTTTTTCAATAACTTATAAAGAAAAGAATCATAAAATGGAAAATGTTATAGAAGACATGATATTGGACAAAGGAAGATTTCAAAGACTTGTTGGGAAACTCATTTACTTTTCTCGTACACTATCTGATATTGCTTATGCAATGAGTATACTAAGTCAATTCATGCATTATCCTAAAGTGGTTTATTTGAAAGTCATTCAAAGTATTCTACAATATTTGAAGTCCACTCCAGTAAAAGGCATCTTCTTTAGAAGAGATCGGCAATTGAGTTTAGAGGCCTACACGGATGTAGATTGGGCTAGATTAGTAGTTGATCGAAGATCAACCTTAGGTTATCGTACCATCTGAGAAGGAAATTTGGTGACATAGTGAAGCAAGAAACAGTCATCTAGTGCTAAGACAGAATTCAAAGCCGTGACACATGATATTTGTAAGTTATTATGGTTTAAAATGATTATTGTTGATCTGAGAGTAAAATGAGAACGAAATATGAAATTATATTATAAGAATAAGTCAGCTATCAATATTATGTATAATTCATGAGTTCCTCCCCCAACGACGTTAATCATTTAGTCCATGATCTAGCTAATTTCAGGAGAACTCATGAATTCTCTACTTTGGTGGCCTACGGCAATCTCAACAATCTCAACAAACTCATGAATTAGCGGTCTTTAGTATTTTTATCCTTATATTTTAAAAAATTATATTAACGTCTTTACAGTTTTGAAAGTAAAATATCTAGATCCATTTACCCTAATGATATTAGTTTTATCGATGAAAAATAAAAATAAAAGGTAAAAAATATAATTTTAATGCTCGGTGACAAAAGACATCGATGGTAGATGGTGGTATCGCTGGCGGATGGCGGGGCGAATCCTAGCTTCGACCCCTTCCTATTTGCATCTTTGTCAGTGTCAATACAAATGTCGAGTAATTGTTACACTAGACGTCATACCTAAAGATAGCGGAGGATGTGGCCATCGGCCTCCTCTACCTCCACATGAGCAACCCATCAATCATGCATGCCAACCTCAAGCCCTCCAACATCCTCCTTGGCCATACCTCATGTCCCGCCTTACCGACTATGCTCTCATCCCATCCCTCCTCTGTCCCCTAGCCTCACCCTACGACCTCGCCGCCCCCTCCTCCTCTGCTGCATCCTCCTCTCTCTTCTACTGCATGCCCAAGTCTTACCTTCCCAAACCCTCCTTCACCCCCCTTTCTGACATCTACAATTTCGACATCCTCCTCTTGGAGCTTCTCACTAAGAAGATCCCGTTCCAAGACCTGGTGGAGGAGTACGATGTCGACATCTCCTAGTGGGTCCGCTATGTGTGGGAGGAGCGAAATGACTCTGGCGAGGACCCCGAGTCATCCATGAATGAGGCAACTGAGAAGAAGTTAATGGTGCTACTAAACATCATAATGGCATGCGTAGTGGTCAAGGTAGAGAGTGACTGTCGATGCGGGATGTGCTATAGATGATCAAGGATGTGAGGACTTGAGGTTGGCATGCATGACCAGTGGGTTTCTCTGGTGGAGGTAGAGGCTGGTGGCCACATTCTCAATTATTTTCATGCACGAAGTCCAGTGTAATGGCCGCTCCATATCTACATTGACATGAACGCAGATGTAAATGTGGAGGGATCAAAACTGGGATCCACCTTGCTGTCTACCACAATTGACGCTAGCAATGTCGTCGTCCACCACCGAACATCAAAATTATCTTTTTATCTTTTATTTATATATTTTTAGTAAAACTAATATTGTTAAGATAAATAAACCTAGATGTTTTATTTTTGTAATTATAGGAATATCAATGTAACTTTTTAAAATACAAGGACCGTTCTGAATATAGTTTTCTTTAAAATCAATCACCGAAAATAAAGGCCCAATGTACGGTATTTAGCATTGGAGGCATAGGAGGGTCAGATTATTCAAACGCAGCGTTGTCCACTGGCCAGATTCCACCCTGATCCAATCCCGTGATGACACTGCTGCATATATTATGACACCACACCTTTGGCCTTGTGTAGGATTTTTCGTTCGGCATTCGTTTGGCAGCAACGCTATCAGAAATAGTATCTTCCGCACCCACTGTTCTTCGATGTAAACGCATACTGTGACAGAATTCATTAACTGAGACTCACAATTACTTAAGAGCTTAGTATCCATGGGAAGAGAATATAAGGTTTGGATCACCCAAGAGGCAATTATTAGGCAGTAACTTTCGAGACGACGGTGCCAATAACATGTGATCGGCAAAAGGAATAGATTTATGGATGTAACGATCTGAGACATTATTTGATGTGGGTCTTTGTATTATTGATCTCACACTGATTCGACAAAAGTCCACATATAATAATTGAGGGTCCGTCGTCTCTGTCAGCTAAATTAGGACAAGAGCGTATGCGACTCTCGTGACTTACATGTTGATGTATCATGCACTAACCATCCAAAAATTAATCACATCATCCGTCGAAGATACAACTGGAAAAAACTGGTGTTTATCTAATGAGGCCAAAGAAAAAAGCAATTCCAAAAGAAGACAAACCTCAGAAATGGATCTCTGAACTCAAAAATTCTCGTTGCACTGACGAATGAAGCAATACGTTTCGTTTCATAAAAGGATGACTTCGAACACACACTCTCTCTCTCTCTCTCTCTCTCTCTCTCTCTCTCTCTCTCTCTCTCTCTCTCTCTCTATATATATATATATATATATATACACACACACAAGGCAATATTCATACAAAACAATC